CATTGACCAGTTCCCCACCCAAGGCCTCAAATTAGAAGTCGTTAGAAATAGTTAGAATAGGATATAGAAAAACAAAACCAAAAAATTCTAGAGTTTTGAAAACCTGCTGTAGTCCAAAATTTAGTCATTTCTGTCACTCAGAACCATTCCGCTGAATGAGAAAGTATGGGCATAATTTCTGGGGTTCCCCCTCTCCCCTCCAATTTGAATTTAAATTATTTCTTTGTCCTGCTTGTTAACTGAATTAACTTTTTTTTTTCTTCCCCCCCTCCAACAACTTGTTAAAGAAAAGATTCTCCCAGACTGTGTCACTCATCATAGTTTCTCTAAGGTCAGGTTCATCAGGGGTTGTCATGGTGTGCCATGTGATGAGAACTGATACACTGCTCTTATCTCTCTCTGCTCCCTCTCCCAGGTTACAGAAGCATACAAAGAGTATGATTATAGCAAAGTTGTTCGATTATTGCAAGCGTTCTGTTCCAGAAACTTGTCTAACTTTTATTTCACCATAATCAAAGACAGGTAAGTTCATTACTGCTGCCTTTAAAAGGGAAAAAACAAGTTAATCGGTTGGAGATGGAGGTAGTAACTTTCCAGATGACTGTTGAGTGAATACAGATAGCTTGGAGAACATTTCATGGTTATGTGTTGTCTGTTAGTGCACTAAAGCTCACAGGTGAAAGCTTAGCTGCTTTCAGCAGAGTATTTTTGTCATCACTGTGCTTCTATATTCTGTCCACTTAGGGGTACTGAATCATTTTTAAAAGGCAATCAAGCATACGCATTTAAAACTAAATAAAATTTTGACGAGGATAGATTCTTGAATCTGTATTTCTAGTTAGAAATGCATGCATCTGAATTTGGGAAGGTTTGGGGAGGGCTTTTAGCACTTACCTGGGCAGCCTGATGTCTTTTACTGATCTAAAAAACAGGTAAAGAATCCCAAGGATGTGACTGATACCTTTGTAAATTTTGAAAGGGCTGTTTCATGGGGGAGGGAGGGAGGGGGCTATACTGATCGGGGGTTAGGCTGATCTTTAGTTTCCAGAATGCAAGTCAAGGGGGGAACAAAAAGAAAAAAGCCCTAATGCTAAATTTTACAGATGAACCAGAACAAAGGGCAAACAGGCTCACCTCCCTGAGGAAAGATTCTCCTCTACACAAATGAAGCAAATTAGCACGCCACGTACAAACTCTCCTTTCCTATGACAAAATGTGGCTGCATATGCAAATGGTGCTGTACCTAGACCACTGTGCTTGCCTAGGAAGGGCAATTAAGAGACGCTTTCCTTAGAAAGGCAAGCTAGGTCAGACTTCTGGGCTTTCAGTGGCAGGCCTGAACGTACGGCTCTTGAGCAAGAACAGTTAACGTGACCATACAAACACTTTCCGGCTTTCATCGCTCTCTTGCAGGCTCTATTGTGAAGAAGAAAAAGATCCTAAGCGTCGTTCGTGTCAAACGGTGCTAGCAGAGGCTTTAGACGTAGTAGTCCGATCCTTTGCACCAATTCTTCCTCACTTGGCAGAGGAGGTTTTCCAGCACCTCCCTTATAAGAAAGGTAAAGCACATATAATTTCTAAGGAATCCTTTCAGGACACTGTTTAATTGCACAGCTAAAAGGAATGCAAATACAGAGATATGCCATTCTTTTTTATTCATTTAATAAACACTTGAATATAAAGACACTAAATTAAAAACACCTTTGTTTGCTTTGCTTTGAAGACTCGGAGGGTGTGTTTCGTACCGGCTGGATTAATGCAAGCTCAGCGTGGAAGAAGCCTGGCATTGAGGAAGCAATAGAAGGTGCATGCGCAATGAGAGAGTCATTCCTGGGGTCCATCTCTGGCAAGAATGCTTTGGAATATGAAGCCGTCATTGTAATTGAGCCTGGATTGCTATTTGAATTAATGGAGGTAAAAGAGGCAACTAAGAATAGTGTTGTCTGTGCAAAAAATACCAATTTCTGTAAACTTTCTTCTGCTTGGTACTCACTAGAAAATCACAGAATAGTTGAGGCTGGAGGGGAAGGCTGGAGATTGTATAGCCCCAGCCCCTTGCTCAGGCAGGGCCAGCTAGAGCAGGCTGCCCAGGATTGCGTCCGGTTGGGCTTTGAATAATTAATTCTGAGGATGGGGGCCCCACAGCCCCCCTGGGCTACCTCTGCCGGTGTTTGACCACCCTCACAGTAAAAAAGGTGGGTTTGCGTTTTCTTGGAATTTCCTCTTTCAATCTGTGTCTGTTGCCTCTTGTCCTGCCCCTGGGCGCCACTGAAAGCCCCTGGCTCCATCTTCTCTACACCCTCCCGTCAGCTATTTACGCACATTAATGAGATCCCCCTGAGCCTTCTCTTCTCTGGGCTGAGCGGTCCCAACTCTCAGCCTCTCTTCATACGAGAGATGCTCCAGTCCGTCACCTTTATGGCCCTTTGCTGGACTCACACATCTCTCTTTGACTGGGGAGCTCGGAACTGGACCCAGCACTGCAGATGTGTCTCACTGGGGCTGAGTAGCGAGGAAGGAATAAGTAAGTAAATGAGGCTCTTGGTTCAAATCATCCACTCTGATTAGGAACCACTCTGTTAGCATTTGTTTTAAAGAATGGAGCATCTTGGAGCTTGCAGTGGAAGACCTCAGATTTGATGCTGGATTTAAACATAAATATATATATATATGCATATACTTAGCCACAGGCCCATCTGTGTAAACAGACTCGTGCTCTCTTCAGGGTAAGGCTATGACAGCTGTTGGAATCACAAACACCGTAATTCTGCTTTTGCTTTAACATTTTCTAGGAGGAGGATGCTGAGGAACAAAACCAGGTTGCAAGTCTGAAAATTAACTCTCTTCCCTAGGCGCTGCAGGCTGAAGAAACGTCCAGTGTTTCACAGCTGAATGAAATCATGATGGCTTCCCAGACCACCCTGCTGAGTGAGCTACCTAAAGAAACACCCACAGATGCAAACATCGTCACCGGGAACTTTCTGATTAACTTGGAAGGTAAGAGGACTCTTCCAGGCAGGCTACTCTGCTAAGCAGCTGGTTCTTTTCTGTACTACAACATACTTTGTTGTTCGCTTCATTGGTAGAGTTGAGTATGCTAACTACACCTACAGTAATAATGCTTTCTTTAACAGGCGGTGATATCCGTGAAGAATCTTCATATAAAGTTATCGCCCTACCCATTGCCAAAGCAAAATGCCCTCGCTGCAGGAGATACACTTCCGATTCCTCAAGCACTCCCTGCCCACGGTGCCTGAAAGTCCTCGCTGGAAAAGGGAGCACGTGAAGGTGCAATACCTGTGCACAAGCTGCTCCAAAGTCCCGAGTACTGAAGTGCACAAGGTGGTGGCTAACGAGAAGGTCTGTGTACTGAAGCCTGTAGAACCAGATGCTTAAGCCCGAGCAGAATTACGTGTTTCGGGGGGAACCTTATGTATATATATATCTAATTGTGTATATCACTTTTCAGCTTAATAAAAAGGGTGGTTCAAAATAACTGACTCATTTACTTGTTTTTAGCAACCTGTGTTCTTTTGAAGTTCACTTCTGTTTAAGTGAAACTCTACAGTAAAACAGCACTGTTTAATTTTTATACAGGCAGGAGGTAGTTCCGCAGAACCCCAGAGAACCACTCCTCTCTACACGGGAGTGTCTGCTCCTCTTGTGTAAAACACAACAGAAGAACAAGTGGTGACCACCGTTCCCTAAAAAAAAAGGAAAAGACACAATGAAACCTCAAATTTTATTTAATCAATTTACACAAATCCACAGCAAATTAGACACAAAATAGCACTATATACAGAGTATTACTTACAGTACATTACAGATTGGATTGGTGTAGTGTGTCAGCTCTGACATGATACTTGGTTACAGTAAAATCCTTTACACAGCTGTACCAGCATACAGGAATGTAACACAACTAAGAAACACTTTTGGTTTTCCTCAGGTTCCGTGATGACCAAATCTCTAGCATACTCATTTCTGCAGAAGTTTGAAGTGCTGTCCGGCAAGGTGGTGAAGTCACCTGTACAATCTTCCCTTCTTCCATTTTTTTCCCCTACAGCTGTTTTAACCTCAGTTACGGAAGTCAGTATAGAAGTACCTAAAACATAGACCAGGGCTGGCCCCTGATTCTTACTAGAATTGTTATGATGCTTTACTCTGATCTCGTATCACTGTAGGAAGTCAAACACTTAGTATCAAACCTTCTCCAGAAGCCTTCATCAGCTACATTAGTGTGCAGTGATGAGGAGCTGGGGATGCTGACAGGTGAAGGAGGCTGTGTAGGACAAGCCACCTACAGAACCGGTTTTTTTAGGGGGAGTCTAACCCTTAGATGGCAGCAGCACATACTTCAGAAAGGTAAGACCAAATTCTGTCTCCAGCAAGGCAGAATACTATGAACGTTTCTTACATACAACGCAAGAGGAGCAGGTTACAAGATGGAGCTAGTATTTCAGCTGACTTCAAGACAAAAACAGTTTACACCAATTCCATTTTTCTCTCCTGGCTTCCTTTAGGTAGAAAGTAAACAGTACTAACTGATGCAAGATAATCATGTTTAATACCACTCCAATAGTGAAGATACTCACTATCTGATTCCCTGTAGGTAGTGTAAATAAAAGTGGGGTTTTTTAAGGCTAAAGTACTCAGTACTATAGATCTTCAGTGAAGTTGGGTCAACTATTTAAGCAGTTTTTGACTACAAGTTAACATGTGCAGAGATTTATAGCATACTACATCTTCTACAGTGATAAGATGGGGGAACAATCTTAGAGTAAGACATTCCTTGACCTACTTAAACTCAGCAGAGCTTAATAATAAAGGAGAGGGATGTAAATCCAGTTTTAGCTAAAGCCCAGCACCCTAGAGACAATCCTGGGAGATCCGGACTAAAAGATGAGTCCGTATTTGTGCCTGGAGAATTGGCTTCTCCTTGCCAAGCTGATTCCAACACATTTCACCCTATGCCTAGTGCAGTCACCATTGTCACATATAACGCAGTTACAAGGCATGAGCCCAACGCCAGCTCTAGCTTCTGAAAAAGCAGTATTGGCTTTACACGGTAACTTCAGAGACTGAAGTTTTTCTCGGGTGTAATTCTACAGCTTGTTTTGTAAAACAAATCATACGTGGAACATTGAAACTACAGCAGTTACTGCCAGCATGAAATACAGAATTTCACAAGATGTGATTTTGTAAATAGACTAAAACTGCCGTCAAACATATCCAATTTAGACTACCGCAAAAGCACTCAAGTCAGAAATAAATAACAAAGCATTTCAGATACTGACAAGTGTACTAGAAACTAGATGTCTTTGTACCAGTGCAGAATTTAAAATATACTCCAATTTAAAATTACCCTCTGAAACTGGGGGATGGGGAGCATTGTTCTTTTCATCGTTTAACAAGAGCCACGCGAAAGTTTCTTTCTGTAAAGTTCAGCCTCATTGTGTAAAATCATGCATTATACCGCTACACAGTGGGACTGTGCTAACCGAGAACGTCACGATGAGATGGCTTCTACAGCCTCTATCAGGTTCAAGGCGAGGCCATACTGCCCATGGTTCTCCGGTAAGTGCTCTATGACTTTGTTAACTAGTTGAGCTGTTGTTGCAATTGGCACTTTTACATTTTGAAGTTCCTGGGGGTCCTATATAAAAGAATAAACACAGCATTAGAGGAATTTTACAGATGATCTGCATATAAGCCCTCCTGAACTTGTATAAAACAGATTACTAAGGTTTATTAACTCAATTAAGCTGATGCTTTGTCCCATGAAACTGCTTTACCCTTCATGAAACAGAACTAGCAGCAGGAAAAACGAGAACTAATTCTTGTTTCCATTAGTAAGAAAGGGCCATTCAGAGGTAATCTCTGTCTTGGTGAACAGAAGCTTCTGAAAATCAACCGGTTTTCCTACATCGACCTGAACTTACCATAGCTTTGAGCCAAGTACATAGTGTCGGAGGAAGCCTAGCGAGGAGTTCCATACCCTCCTTTGTCTGCATGTGAAGTAAAGCGAAGGCCAGTCTCTGTCCAGCCAGTATCAGCAGCTGCGACGCAAGAACTTCTTTGTCAGTCACCTGAAGAAAGGCCTGAAAATAAAAAAAAAATAAGGAACTAGAAACCATTTGAGCATGACACAGCTCACTTAACTGGAGGCTTGAAAAGCTGTATCAAAAGAAGCTTCTTAATACTAAAAGGACAAATAGTTCTGCGACCATTTCTTGTGTTACCTGTTACTATAGTAAAGAACGTTATTAAAAGCTTCAGAACAGCAGAAGAGTGAACACAGACAGACAGTTACTCTGTATTTTACACAGTGATTATCATGAGCATGAGATCTGTTTTACAGTTCAGCAACATATTCCTAACTTCCATATAATCTCTCGTTTGCTTTTCCCCTCAAGAAAGGGAAGGATTTGCCTGCCCAAGGACTGGTAAACTTTTCCTAGAAGAAGAGATTACAGGCAAAAAAAAAAGCAGGTTCTATCTGCTTGAAACTATCAAATACAGTACCATAAAAAAGACTGTACTGGTTCAGACTAGTAGTGTAACTCCCTCTTATGTTTCCACTAGTTGCTATACATAGATTCTTATTAGGAGGAAGAAAAAATGAGGGTAATTATGGGTCTTGGAAAAAAGTACTTTTCCAGCCTCTGACTGTTTCAGTCTGGGGATTTTTTGAGCCTGATAATACTTGCCTAACCCTTCCAGGCAACTTAAGTAAGTGAAGAAGTAATTTTAGCAGAATATCTGACATAATGCTGTATTGATTTAAAATCGTTAAAAGCTGTTATTACCTCTTCACCAAGATGATCCATCCCATAACTGTACAGCTCACAGACATAATGCCTTCTGATGACATCCTCAGAGATCTGAAGATACTGAGCCAGGTCCACAGCCAAAGTTGGCCAATTCTTCCCCTTTTCAAAAGGAAACAATTCCTCTTCTGAGACTTCTTTGGCCTTTTGTGATGAACATAGTGTTTGAACCGCTGCACTCACAACTTTGACCAAGAACTTGGAAGCAAAAATTGCAAGTTACTTCACTATTATTTCAAATTTTAGAAGTTTAAGAATTTTCAGTACAAAACTTATACCTACCTGCTGTCGTATGGATAACACGTTTGGATCCATATCCCCACTAGGTAGCAGCTGAATTGAAGTAAGGTCTTTGAAAAACGCATTTTTGCCCTAAAATTGAGAACCAAAGACAGTCCTCAGAGATACAGGGGAAGAAAAGGAATCCATTTTGATCCAATACTAAGAAGCCTACTTATTTTTTACATTTCATTTGTACTGCATCTTCTATTTTTCTTTGGGGATGAAAATTAATACTGTAAGTTAAAGCCACAGAAGAAAACAAAAACTTTAGTTCATGCAATCATAACATGTCAAGGATTTGCTTTCAAACTTAAAACTACCTGCCTGCTAAATTAGGTTTCTGATATACTACTACCTGGAGCTGAAATTTGGATATATTTCCTGGTCCTTGGCTTATCATTCTAGATCAACATACCAAGCATAATATGAAGGAAGAAATGCAAACTAGCTGATACAAAAATACATTTTATCTATTATCTATTGATACAGTTGACACCGCTTCATTTTAAGGTCTCTTGAAATGCAGATTAACCAAATTTCAGGTAAACCCCTGAATCATGGCACATGGTAGCCCTTGTTTCAGCCCACCACGCTCCAGCAGTGACAGACTCAATGCAAGCATCCCTGGCAGTCCTGCTCTGTACTAATGCAGGGAGCAGGGAAACTGCTACCAAAAAACACCTGTGTTAAAAGACAGGTCTAAGTAGTGACTTGCCGTGTCAGAAATAAGGTAATAAATAGTCTTCAAAACTTTTAAACACTTCTTCTGTCATCAGCCAAAATTCTCTAAAGACGTGTTAGAAATTCTCTCATAAAGCTCACAGAACAAATGGGAATCTTGCACGAGTGAAGGCAAAAAGGCAGCGGCTGAGAATAATAGTTGTGTGTGAAAGAAAGGAGGCACAGGAACAGGATTTAATTTTACTCTTGAGATGTAATGTGCATTCTTAAATGACAAAAGGTAGTATTAATGCTTTCTGCTAACAGGTAAGCAAAAAAAAAAAAGGGCATAAAAACGATGGAATTTGATCTATGGTAAAATGCTAAAACCAGACCCAACTGCTTCATCAGAGCTTGCACACAGACAAGAACCTATGGAGAGTAATAGTCTGCATTTATAAAATTCCAGTAAATTATCAACAAGAAATCTTCTGCGCAGAAGGATGGCAATATTAAGATGTATGCACATAAGCTTTCAAAAGACATACCTTGCTATCAAACAGCGAAAGAGGCTTCACACTCTTCAGAGAAAACCTCATGATGGCAAACAAGATAGTACATAACACAAACTGGTGTTCAACAAGTGGGTAGTGAATGCGTTTCTGCTCAAGGGCTAGTTCTACTATCGATACTGGTCCTTCTACCGACACCCAAGCATCTTCAGTATCTAAGACAGGGGCCTGCATTTCATCGCTACTAACGTCAGCCTGCCAGAGCAACACAGAAAAGTAGTCACGCACAAAATGTCATCTATATTGGCCTTTATGCGAAAGACACTGCTTTAATCATAAGTTCTCTGCAATGAAATTAAAAAGAAAATTTCATATTTTCTAGAAGTTCATTAATATTTGTCTGAACGGTACAGAAATTAGTATAACCATATTCTTTAAAATTAAATTTGAATCAATTAGCTTCTTACTTTCTATGGGAAAAATAAAAATTTACCTCTAGCAATGTCTGCAGAAGATCTGAACAGCAGCCAAGAAAAGCTGTCATTGCTGTGTCACCCATACCTACGTCCTGTTAACAAACAGTAGGATTTAAAGTGTTTCAGTTGGAATTGAAACAGGCTTTTATTAGCTCTGTATGTTTGAGAAGACACTTGTTGACATAAAACACATTGTTAAGCTCAGTTTATTAACCTATTGTATTTAAAGGCAAACAAATATTCACTTAAGTACAACAAAGAATTAGAAATAACAGGGAAAAAATAGGAATGAAGCTAAATGTAGCCATTTACAGTACTGTATCTGTAAAGACGACTGAATTCCTCAAGTAATCACATCTAGTAAATTTCGTTTTCTGAGCATATCGATTGTCTTCCAAAAAGGTTTTAACTAATGAAAAATAATAGTAACTTGTCATGTTACAGTCTCAAGTCTACCTTCTATAATATGCAAAGTTATACTACTGTTCTAATTTGCTTTGTCAGATACAGATTAATTGACATTTCTTAAAATTCATAACATTTTCTCTAGGGCTGCATTTTGAATTTTTCTGAAACTCAAAAATAAACCACAAACTAGTATTAAAATTAAGGCATTTTTATTTATTTATTTATTTCAATTTAGACGGAAATAGTATTACTTGCCCTTCTGCATAATCTGTCCTTTGGAGCTTTTCCAACCTGTTTTAGAAAGAAATATTTCGTCACAATGAAATAATTTTCATCATAAGGTACCTGTTACCCCACATTTAAACTATTATTTAGTATTTTCCTAATAGAAAATGAGGAAATAGTTCATTACAGCTACTACATAATGCAACACATGACATAGGTTGCTTTCAACGAAAGATTTGATACAGATCATACAACTCAGAAATAAACATCACTGACGCCAATATTTAGTTCACCCTTCTTCAAGTCCAGCATTAGAAATAAGGCCCCGAGGTCCTCATTCAAATCTCAAAGACAGCTAAAAAATTCCCAGTGATTCCTGTAATACAAAACTAGAGCTATAATACCAAGTGTGATATTAGAAAGAAACACTGGGGAACAAGGGAAGAGGAAAGGAAGAGTGGATGCTCCAGCATATTCATTGAGATGGAGAAGGTCTAATAAGAAAGTTATTAGATAGTTTCCATGCTTTGCCTATCTGAATTCTTCAGAAGAGACACCTCGATCATACCCTGCTTAGGAATGTTACTATCAGGTCCAATTTGTACAAGTTGGATAACATGCTGCACGTGATGAAGCACATACACATCAGTGGAAGTTCTCTCTTCCATAGCACAAGAAAATAAAAGTAACGATTACAACATCATGGCAGAGTCTGAACAACAGCTGAAGCGAGATTCCAGGGTCCTGAACTACGGGATTATTTAAACTCAAATTCTAGCGATGCATTATGCTGTTTCAAAGTCTGAATTCAAGACAACTTTCAGCTGTCAATTTTGGGACTGATTAAGCGCCAACAGATTTGGAAACTGTATTTTTCTGGAACTGGGGAGAGATCAGTTCTGCTACTGCTTCTAACACGCAAACCCTAATTCCCAGCTTTCAAACATACATAACTAACTATTAAAAGTTAGCAATATTTGTTATTACATTGTATTTCTTTGAGGTAACAGATGTACGCAAAAACAGTTAGTTAATAAAAACCTTTATCTCTTCTCCTGTGGGTGTTAATCTAGGCAGAAGTAATGGCGGTGATTTACATAAAGGCACGCAGAAAAACTGGAAAGGAGTTTTTGCAGAACAAACACCTACTACAACTGTACACAACTGAGTGTATTTCCTGAAAGGAATGAGGAAGATGGTATTCTCCCGTTCTTACAGAGCTGAACAAAAAGCAAAAGCAGAAAATGAGAGGAGCAAAGGAGGAGGAAAAAAGACGACAATACAGCAAATTGTTGTGGGTTTCATGTTGGTTGGGGGTTGTTTTGTTTTTTTTTTTTTAAATGCCATCAACACTTCTCTCTTTGCATCTGGACTTTCATGCTTAAAAACACTTAGCTGCTGCTCTACATCTGGCAAACCAACAGGCAGATTCCCCTTACACAATTTAAACAGATCTATCACTTACTGGCAGTACTCTTCCTAAACTGTCTTCCAGTCCTAAACAGAATTGTCTTCCAGTAAACAGATCCACTGCATATTTATAAGCATGAAAAAACTGAAGCTTAGCAGGGACAAAAGACTGCTAAAACTCATATCAAACAAGCTGTATACTAGAACAGAAGCTGATTTACAATGGTAGCGATAGCTAGAAATGCTCAACAACATCCTCAAGATGTTCTGCATTTTGCAGAATAAGAGCTCATAGATGCAAAACTTGGACCACAACATTAGGAAAAGCTGCTGCTTGTGAGAACCTGAAAGTTTCATGGCAATAACTTACCAGGAAACAGGCACAGAGAAAACACTAAGTTATTTATCGTTTTCTAACTTAAAATTTTATATACGCACACACATATAGTTTCAAACTGTTTCACAAATACTTTTTATTTAGCAATTACAAGCTAACACTGCGCATAAGTCTTCAGAACACATCAGCCAGTGCTGATCGGCTATTACTTAAAGATGCCTATAGTTGATTATTCCATGGATTTGATATTTTAAAATATGCATCCCTTCATCAATGCCAAAAGTTAGCTATATAATAATCCAAATAAGCAGGGATTTTTTTGATGCTTAAATCAATGATATTCCAAACATACTTTAAAAAACAAATCAATGGTTTAAAAATACTAGTTTAACTTTTCAGTTAATAATAAAAATTCAGCCTCAAAAATACTGTCAGAATACTGCACTCACCTTGTCCATTAGATACGCAGCAGAAGAAAGCCTTTTTACTATGAATGTATTCCACATCATCAGAGCAATACCTAGAATAATCGCAAACTTATAAACTCCAAGCAAACAGAAAAGAGATCTTACAAGTATGGCATGAGAAGCCATGGGCCAAAGTTCCTTTAATGGGGGGCACAATTAAAAAAAAGATGGTGAGTGCAACAAGAAGGAATTGTGAGTTATCCTCACTGCTTTATACTCAGACTTTAGAGTTCAGATTTCTCAGGAGGAGACTACCTTGGTGATTAGGTACATTCAGAAGTGAAATGAATCATTCGTTAAAATTATTATATTATGCAGACTCAGTTACAACATTGTAGGTACACAGAAACTTTGGTGGTAAGCCAGAAGGTTTAAGACTAGCGCTTTAGGCATAGAGTGCACCTTATCTGCATACATAAATAGCCTACAAAAAAGACAACTGTCATCGCATTCAGTACAACAAAGTATCAAGAAGTGCATTAAATGCATAAAAAGTAATTGACTGCAAGAAGCATGTACCACAATCTAAATACAAATTAAAAAAAAAAATTAGTTTCAGAGCAATTTTATTTTAAAATGTTTTCAGTTAAACACATTAACTTTACCTAACTAACTTAGTTTCATGGTTCTGACAGAAATTCAGTTTCAACATGAAAAACAAAAGCTTGAATGTCAGCAGAAAGTTTAGGGGTTTGAGGGTTTTTTTGGGGGGGGGGAGGTTAGGGCTTTTTGTTTGGTTTTTGGGGGTTTTTTTGTGGTTTTTTTTGGTTTTTATTTTTTAAAGACAAAATGGCCATCACTACTACGAACTGTATACATTTATACTAGTTGACAAACAGTCATTTATTCTGTTGTTTTACAATTTCAACGTTTTTAATAGCTTCATACTTACCATGCTGAACGTGAGCATTAACGATGCATCTTAGATGATCTATAGACCTAATGAGAAAACATGCTTCCTTATGTAAAACAAAAAAGTAAAAGAACAAGTTATTACATTATTCAAAACTTGTTTTAAATGTAAATTATTGATTCTTAAAGGGCCCAGGTAGATGATTTTAAAGCTACTATTTTTTGACAGTTATAAAACTTGCAAGTTATTCCGATACTGAAATCTTCTCCGCTACTATCTGACAAACATACATGCACGTGGCAAAGTATGTTTCAGTAAATAAAACACATTGTGATTTCAGCACTATTTTCAGGGCTTTGTTGTAGTATAGGTACTGCTAACATACTCTTTGCTGAAAGGTACCTCCACTGACTACAGTTGTTTTTCAAATACAAAATCCATTTGTGCTAGAAAGATTCATTTTTACTGAATGTCATTATGATGGAGTAAGTTTTTAACAAAGGCACCTTCTGTTCTATAGCAAGGTGTAATGTTGCACAGATCTAAGGAGTGCTAATTTCAATTTTATTATCATCTGAACTTAGGGCAACATTTTCCAATATTAGAGAAGCTCTAGGAAAGCAGTGGAAAAAAGGAATTTTTTTTTCTTTCTCCTATGACAATTCCCAGCAGTGGCCAGGGAATCTAAGAATATTCAAGAAATCTCTCTTTCCTCTTTAAATGGAATGGATTCTAGTCTAACAAATTTAGCATTCTGTGATCTGTTTTAGCATATCTAGAACAGAGGAAAGGTTCATCACTATTTTGCAGTACTTCAACTGTTTCAACTTGCACAAAATACAGTCAAAACCCTTCTTCATGCTGCTTATTTGAATCCAGTTTCCACACTTCCAGTTTTAAGAATCTGATAGCTTAGAAACATACAGTCCTGTCTTTGCGAGGTGCCATTCAGCCTCAGGACCTGCATTCATTTTCTCAATTCAATTTGTTCTTGCCACTTATCACAGAAAAATTGTAACTAGTATGCTTTCAAAGTCAGTCTTCTTAACAGAAGTTTTTATGAACTATTACAAACTTGTGAAACTGCTTCTATTGAGTTGGTCTTAATCGTTACTCCCCGCAAATGAAGTTCTTTTACCTCTGGGTCCTTATTCCACTGCACTACATATTCCCAACAGCAATGTGCATGGAGTACATCCACTTCAAGACTACACGGAAATTGCTGATATGCTAGTTGCAGCAGCTCTAGAAAAAGAAAATCTGAAGTTACAAGACAGACCTCTTCCCACAGATCTAGGAAAAGAAAATCTGAAGTTACAAGACAGACCTCTTCCCACTATGATTCCCGCTACTTCACAACAGTGGCAACTAAAACATCTCTGCAGATATTTAGGATTTGAAAAAGTCATGTTATTTTCTTACCTAGGATTGTTTCCAAGCCTGCATCTGCTTCTGGTTCCTCAAGAAAGATACTCGTAGGCATTTCTACAGATTCTTCAGTACTATCTGTATTGTGTTTCTGTTGGGTCAAATTCAGTACAAGAGGACTGAAGCCTTGCTTAAAAACCCACTTTGCTACAGTATCAGCAATACCTCCTAGGACATAAAAAAAAAATAATTATGAGGTATAGTCAATGTATCCCAGAAGATTTATGGTTCATAATCAAAGGACGAGAGGTGAGACAGGAGTTTTAACTAATACCGTTAATTACGTAACGATAACTTTGCCAATTAGAAAACTTCCTAATCAAATGATTAGAGATTTACAAGGCAGTCTTTACAGTAATACTCTTTTACAATTTTAAAACACTCTTCTACATGGTTTGCATTGGTTTTTAAAATACGAAAAGTAACCAGCAGAACAATTTCCAGTGCAGTGCATATCATAAATTAAGGTAAGGATGGCTCAGAAGTCTATTAGAAAGACAACCAACCATCCTTCTGAGAGAGAAAATGTACCTTTTCCAGCTTCAAGCAATTTCTTTACAGAAAGCCTGCCCAAAGGCTCAGTCTGAAGTGATGAAACTCTTTTTGTCCTTTTGCTCACTTTGCTATACAGTAGTGTTTGAAGTATCAGACAATCCTCTAGCTGTTTCAGCAAAAGTTTCCAATATTCAGTATCAAGGGAGAGAGCTTCCCAGGATTCTGTGTCTGAACCTACAATTATTTGGGAAAACTAACAGAACATATGAACTGTTTTAGGTCTGTTCACTTAAAGTAGCACACTTGTGTTTTAAAAAAATGCATAGTATTAAAACGGAAAGCTATATCCTAAGAGCTACTGCATTTTAAAGAATAATTTAGTTCAAGATACGTACATAAACTATTACGCAAACATCAATTAATATCCCATACTGCTCACAAGATGCACAGATTCTTAAACAAAAACGCAAGGAAATGAAAGGACCTGAAAGGTCATCTTATAGTCCCATTTTAAAGTTCATATTTAGTTGAAAAGTGGGATAGAATCCCTTCAAAAAGACTTAACTCGAAGTCTTCCACTATATACATATTCCCCACATATATGATTAATCCACCTACATTTCAATTTCCTACCATATTAAAAAAATATATATCGTGCACCCAGAAACACTGGATCACACCACATCATAGTTCTGTGCATTATTTTCATAATTCTCATGTTTATGAGAAAATGTTTCACCAGGAAGCCCAAGAATCTTTCCAGTAGGGTACAGAGCTGATTTTTAGCTTTGTGCACCAAGACAGCAAGCTCTAGAGTTCTCAGAAGCCTAGCCGTTAACAGTTTTAGGCTTTAAGCCAAAGGACGGGGCGGGGGGGTGGGGGGGGAGAGGAAGAGATAAAGGGAGGTTTTGAGGGAAATAAAGCTGTTGCTTTATTCTTTTAAGAGCAGAAGAGAAGGTGACAAAGGAGAGAGCATATGGGTAAAGCATAATATGTTGCAACATACCAATATTCCTATTTGGGCAATGCTAACAATTTTAATATATGGAATTGCAATAGTTAAGGTGAATGGGCAAAAATACTAAAATGCTTCCCAGTAATCTAGTTATAATTTATAAGGCAGTCTATTTACAAGACTGAACATCACCTAAACCCCACCTAATCTGTTAAGGCAAGTAGTAGAATACAAATATGCCCAGTGCTATTTAGGAATGTAATAACTTTTTCCATTTTGAATGGCAGTGCCATGTGGAGTTTCACAGTGTTAATCACAACTTTGTGAAAAGATACTTATTGCCAAAAAAACCAACCACCCATCACCTTTAGCAGTAAAGCAGAGTAACATGAGGGCTAAGAAAATTCACCAATATATTAAAAAAAGAATAAAAAAAACTGCATTAAAACAGGTTTACCATCCAAAGTTCAGTGAACTTCTAAAATTTATGTGGAAACTGCATAGGCTTTGAGTTTGTCAACATCATTCGCTATTAAGAGAACAACTCACTGTACAGTTCCCATCACATATTTGAATATGTGCAGCAAACAATTCTGATATATCATTCATTCACCTCTGCATAATATTCTTCAAATTCAAATACAAATTTTCAGGCTTGCAGTATGGCATACTTGTGCCCACGTTAGAATGACAACAAATTAATACTGAGAATGTTATTCCATTACAAAGACAGCAGTTTGCATGGAACTGATACAGTAAGTAAAATAAAAAGAGGGAGGTCCAAGATGCTTTACCTTTTTCTCTGTCACACTGTCAATTATCTGCGCAGTTACAGAATGTCCAACGTGAGCCGATAACAAGGCAGCTGCATTATTTTCAGACTGAACACAAGCTGTACGCATTTGCTGCCACCAGGGGGAAACCGACTGAGTGTCCCATGACTCATCTATAGCAACTGCAGAGAAAGGGAGTGCAGGAAACTCAGCTTGGGCCATTGGGTATTAACACTAGTAAAGCAGCAACCAACCCTGAAAGCATCACTTATTAATACAGCTTATATTAGGTGCAATTTCCAGTTACTCTACATTATCTTTTTCTAGATATGTAGCATACAATTTCTAGATTATAAACCAAATTTAAAACAAAGAGCAGAACGTGAATTACTCGTTCTCCAAGTTTCATTTGTAGGAAACGGGCAATAGATCTAAATCACTAGGTAGTAAAACCTGCTGCACGCTTACTAGATCTAAAGAATATTACAAAATGGCACATCACAATGCAGACAGCTTCTTGTGTGATTTCAAGATGCCACACGTATTCAATGCACTCAAGCTGGCTCTCTTCAGGCTACCTTGTGCCCAGCAGAATTAATTTATCCAGACAGCAGCAGTAGCTTATTTATGCTTCCAGTTTCAAGCTGATAATGGTGCCCCATGGTGAACTAGACACAAGGGAACCTGGCACAGACATATCCATAGCAGCTCTGTGTGAGGCAGGGGAATCAGTATTTATTCACTATACAACTTACCCCAAATAATCGCAAGTTGACGTTATAGAGTACTCTTCAAGTTACAGAGATGTTCAATACACAAATGCTGGCAGAATAACGGTGTCTCAATGAGTTAAGGGAGAGGGACAGGACTATACACCCAAAAAAGGGAGGAAGGGGAGCTGGACAGACACCTTCTGGTGCCAAACAGGAGTCATGTCAACTTAGCGGAGAGTGAAACTGCAGGGCGTGAAGAAGGCCTTTAACTGTGACACACTTCAGATTTTCATGGTATTTTTAGTTAGTTCATCAACATGCAGCATTTAGCTCTGTTACATAATTGGGGGTGGGGGGGGGGGGGATCCTACGTGATAATATAAGCTAGTCAGAGTAGCAAATTTCTAATAATATCAGTTGTGTTTAAGTGTTCCAAAAGCACATTTCACCTTTCATTTTGCTCAGAAGTGACAGCATAGTGTGAAGGCAACTGACGGAACCTGGTTTGTCTAGAATATCTTTTTCCTTGGAAAGCCATAAATTGAGAAGGAGTGACTGTAAAAAAAAAAAAAGAGAATATGGAATTAAAGCAATAGAATGAAACTCGAATATTGCAATATACCTAATGGAAACACTTTCTTGAACAAATTTTGTGTCATGGAGCAGAAATGTTATATCCATAAACCCTTATTATAGTAACATAGAAAGTTTAAAATATATTGCATAAGGTACCCTATGACAGACTTTGAAATGAAACAATACAATCTGTTATCTTTCATTTAGAAAGATAGCTTAGAAAACACCCTCTTTTGAAGGCACAGCCAGCTAATATCAGTATGTTAGCAATCTCACCTTGGTAAACATTAGTAGTTATTAATATTACAGCTGAAAAATCTTAACACAGGCAAGTAATACTGAAATAGGTATTTCCATCGTTATGTAGTAGATGGAAGAAAAGTAGCAAAAGACTAAAATCACATGCAGATGAAAGATAAAGATGATTCTCTGAACACTACTAGTGATTCTGACAAATTTACTTTTAATCTTTTTAAACTTCCTTGCTTGCTTGCAAAAAGGAATCATAACAAATGTATCAGTACCTGAAATTAACACAATTTTTGCTTCTTTGTAGAAGAAATCTTCAGCAAGTCTTCTTGTAGTCCTAAATCCATACTCTAGACATTCCCACTAGAATACCCACATTTTCTACCAGAAGATTTTCTTTTTTTTTTTTTCTTTGACATCTCTTAAATGGGAAATATAAATATCAGCACCTAAAGAACTGAATGTGGGGGTATTTGAACACAGCCTGAATACAGCATTAATCCAAGGGTCAACATTCAGAATTTTTCCTTGCAATGTTTTGTTTTCAAAACACTAAATCAAAGTTTTGAAGTATGTAATAAATATCTTACCAACAAGATTTGAGGGATAAAACCTGCTGATTCCAATGCATGGCACATTTCCTCTGTGGAACTCTCCCCACACAAACACTTCCAGAAGAAAAAGCTGCCTGAAGAAAAATTAGTTGACATTATGAATGGCATCTAAAGCCACGGCCTCTCCCCTTACACTTATATGAGAGATCATCTATTGATCAGGTCCTACTGAGTGCGATACAAAGGACTAAGTTACACCCAGGATACCCTGATAGTTTACGCTTAGTGGAGAAGAAGGTTCATTACAAAGGACATAAGTGTTCCTACCACTACAGGAGTCATATGGAAAATGGATTTATAACAAAACAAAGGTTATTGTACTGCTCGGATTACACATTTTGTTCAATTCAAAGAATGGTTTGAAGTGTCAGACAAGTTTATCCATGGAGTAACCCGTAAGTGTGTGGCTGCATGTTGTATCTTATATAGCAAACTAGGGGTACTTCAACCAATTAAAAAAACCAGACAATTACATAATTCATACCTTACCAGCACTACAAAAAGTGTGAGCGTCCCCTTTGAGGCAGAGGAAAACTGGAAAAACAAGATCTTCAAGAAACTATCTATCTGAACTACTCAGCATGACATTCATGTTTCAATTGTATTTGTTTACAGCTGAACACCCTAAGAAGTTACTGGTGATCCCTGTTCAAGGGGGTGGGGAGAAGAGTACTTCTACCCCAGTTATTAAAACTAAGTACAGTGTTACAGTAGAGAAAATGCAAATTCTAAGATTACTTAGAAACAGCCTTTGATTTTCATACAGATGAAAGCCAAGCTCTTTTGCCTAACTTTTTAATCCCAATTCCTCTCAAAGTCTGACGATTAAAGCCAAAAGAAGCAGGAGGCTGCAAAGTGAACACCATACAACACCTGTGTACAGAATCCTGTGTTTGCACCAAAATTTCCTCAGAAAAGAAATAATCTGGAAAGACAGTGCCTTTGAGACAGATTTAACTCAAGCTGCTTCCATTAGTTATTTCCCAAGAGTCCCTCAAGGACAGTCCAGAACAGATTTGCAAACTAAAGCAGACTACAGACAGTAACCCATCCCACACCCCAACAAACACTCTTCCCATCCATAATATTTCAGATCAACATTGTCCAAAATCTCCTCAACTCCACAAGTTGAGGGGTCCTTATTCTCCCACCTAATGGTCCTGTGCTGCCTCTGGTCAGCTCCCCCATCTCTGAGGCTAAAGTCAGTCCTGTCATTAACTGAACTCTTGAGGTGCTGTGACCATGAAAGAAACAGCAGGATACAGCCGCTCTGTAAAGGACCTAGTTACCACTGTCCAACTTAGTGGCGTTAATAAACAAATGAACAGTGATTAACACGGCTTTAGGGTAATTATATCCACAGACGTAGTTAACTTTTATTAATATCCGTCTAGGTGGAAAGACTTGTCCTATGGCTAAAGGTAAGAGTCTGGAACTAGCACTATCACGTACTACTTCAAGGCAAGCCAGCTTGTTAAGGCCCCCAGATTAAGGCTAAAATATTTATACCATCTTAGATTATAATCAGCCTTTAAGTAATTTGACAAATAGTTCAGTAACTCCTACCTAAAGCCACATATTCTCCGTCTTCCATATTTTTCACATTAATCACGTCCTTTTCATATTCCAAATACTCTAAGAACATTTTCACAGACAATACGTCATCCTTCTCATCAGCCAACTGAACAGTAGTTTGGGTGTTTGCTTTCTTGTAGTTCTCCAGTAAAGTCTGGAGCCTATGGAAATCTTTTTCTTCCAGCCGAAGCAGTTTAGCCAAGTCCTTAAAAGCAAAAGCCCCAAAAAATCACACATCACAAGACTAATGCAAACAGATGTTTTTCAAAACACAGTGAAAACTAAAGCAAAAGACAGAAGAGTCAAAATATTTTGTTTTGAACATTAAAAATGTCTTTTAAAAGGGTCAAAGTGATTGAATAATCTCAAAATCAGATATTCATATAGCTCAAATGAAGACCTTGTCTAGCTTTATGCTTAAGGACTTCAGCAGATACATTTCCCATACTTAGATCCTGCTCATAGTATAACAATCACCCATCAAGCAAACAAACCCATATAACACCACTCCGTGTGGCTTTTATAAATGTATAAGCATTTTTATAAATGATATCAAAAGCAAGCCAAATTATGATGCTACACAAGCAAATATCAGAATTTGTAATTTCTGCTGGTCTCAAAATACCCCTCCAAAAATAAACAAAGTTAAGAATGTGCTATGTACTTTGGATAAAGGACCGAAATCAGAAGATCCTGGTTCTATTTTCACTTCTGTCTCAACTTTATGTGACTGCTAAAGAATATTAGGTAGATAATTACTAGGCATTTTTACAGGGAGGGCACTGAGGGGGAGGCATTATAAAACAATTACTTCATTAAAAGTTCCAGGCCACAAAAACAAGTAACTTGCTTACCTACTAATTTTATCCGAGGCCTTGAAAACATATATTTATGCTTAAATCATTGCTCGATTCTATAAGACAACTGAATTTTGAATTTACTCACAGTATCTGAAGGTGAAGTGTCTTTCTGTATGCTTTGAGAATTTAGTTTGCTAACTAGTTCATAAAGATGTAACAGCTTTAACTTGTTTGCGCAGAACTGCAGTAGTCCTTCATCCACACACTCAAGCTCTGAGGAGAAATAAAACTGCATTTGAACTTGAATATATAGCCTGGAATAGTGAAACATACTTTGCAGCTGCATTAAACTCCGCCATTAGAACTGGAGGACTTATGTGTCTCAGTGTAATTTTTTGATGCAGTGCTGCTTGCAATGCTAATATTTAATTCATGGCAGTATAAAAAAAGAATTATTTTTACGAGAAGGATTAGAGAAAGATATCAGGCTCATTTTTAAACTGAAGGAGGTTGACAATGTGGAACTGAACAAAGACAAATCTATTGTCTTTTCCTGGTTTAAGGCCAAACCAGAGAGTGCCGAAAATTGAAATACACCAAGTATCAAACATATTTCCTTTTAACAAGAATTAGATACCAAACTATAATCTTTTATTCATCATGCCAATATTGTAAGCATATTCTTTGCAACAGGAGAGAGCCTGATATCTACTGATATGAATTCAATTTCATCTCTGCAAGATACTGCCTTTTGTATTTCAACAATCTTAGTCTCAGAAATTTCAAGTATCTATTGACATTCAAATTTCAGTAACAATTAAAGCAATCAGAATACAGGAAGCTAATACCAACACAATGTTGGGAAAAAACTCTATTCCAACTTACTTGTTTTAAAAGAAAGCATTTTACAGAGATCCTAAGAGGACCCTTCTATATAAAACATCTCTCTGAATATATCATCTTCACCTGAAACAGCTTCTAAACGTGATTTCCTCCCTACAAAACCTGTAAACACTTTTGATACTTTGCTATTGAAAATCCTACAAACAAAAGAGAAACACACAGAGCTTGCTGCATAGTCACTTGACCTTTTCTTCACAACCACAGCATTCACAGAGCCCAGCATTTGCTTCACATTATCTTTTACCTACTAAGCACAAGCGGAAGGATATGCCACTACTCTTCTGAAATTAGAAGGCTGGAATATCAGCCAAGTTTGTTCTTTATTGTGACTGTAAGGAAATAATGTTATGTATGACAATAAGAGATTAATGATGAAAAATACACGCTCAAACAAACAGACCTCAGTAAGTATACAGTTCTGTCAGTCTCTCTTCAGTGTAAAAGGGCATGTTTCCATTTTTCTTTGTTTCTTTAGGAGTTCTAATAGAAATGGTTAATGCTAGTGATTTAGAATGCCAGACCAAAATTAGGTAGAGAACTGCACATGTGAAGCTCTCAATCTCCTCTATCTACTTCAAGAAAATGGTGTAGTAAAAAGAAAAAAAAAAAACAAAAAACAACCACAAACCAGAACACCCACACTGATACAAGTGAAAAAGATTTCCTCTCAAGGCTTTGAAACTACGATAACATGTTGTCACATTCTCACTGAGGTAGGACAAGTGACACAGCCTTTCTAATTGACAAATGGTCTATTCAGGACTTCCACACAACAGTGGCAGGGATTTCTTGACTCCTATTGGTAAAGCCTCATCTTCTAACAAACTGAAATGAATCCAGAGGTTTAAAAAAAAAAAATAAAAAATAAAAAAATCAGACTTCTATTGCTGAGAAGTCCCAACACATGCAAAGGAAGTGGCAGGGGGGCCCCTCTCCCCCCTATTTCTGCACACTTCTCCACTCTATTCCCCAATACCCAGCTCGGGCTCCAAAACTGGGTCACCTCAAGCACAAAGAAGGTTCTCCCAATTTAGAAAGATCCAAGTGTATAATTTCAAAGAAACAATCTTGCAGAATTTCAGCAACAGGATTTTGAATGGGTAATGACATTTCCTGACGTTGGCTCTGAAATCTCTAGCAAAACATATGAAATATAACTTCAGCGAAGTTTACCAAGAAAAGATACGACGCATGTGGCCAGAGCTCAGATCCTCAGTAATAAGGATTCTGTGCTTCCAGTACATTAAAATTCACAGATCCAAAGTACCACATCCTTACTGCCTTCCTTGGAATGAGAGAACAAACTAAAACATCTACAGGCAAAAGTCTGTGAAAGCTTCTTTCTGAAGGAAGCTTTTACTAGATGCAAGTACCCAGACCAGTTGTTGGTTCTTTTCTTTTTCAATGTAATCACAAGTTACTAGGCACATAGCAAGCATAGCAAAGCATACTTACTAGCAAGCTATTTGCAGTCTGCATTAAAAAAAAATAAAATATGTAGAAGCAACATCCTGTGATATCTAGCAGCAAAACTAAGCAGACCAAGACTGGTCTCCTGGTGGAACAGACTAGTTCTACAATAGTCTTACAGCACTGCAGACAAAGTGCAAATGCCTTTCCATATTTGCAAAATAAATATCCACCTACCCTGTTTTTTTAAATTATCCATTAATGTCTGAGTGATGTTTGTGAGAGATGAAAGTGGCACACGTTCACTTGTCAATATACTTTCCAGAGCCTGTTAAGCAGACGTTCAACAGAATTAAACATTTACTTAATTTTACTGAAAAAACATATACGGTAAGCCAACAAAGCACAACTTTGACAATGATTTTTCATCTGTATTTTGTCTCCAGATATACTTATGGGATAATTTGATCCTACAGAAAGGTTTGCTCTTTTTATTATTTTGACTTTTATCATGGAAGATGCCTTGGGGAAGTCACAAGTCAAAATTAATTCCAGTCAATATGTTGTGTAAAAACAAAAACAAAACCAAAAAACCACACACAAAAAACAAACCAGAAAAACCCCATCAAAATAGCTCAATTATTTGCTTCAAGTAACTCTAGGAAAAAATAACATATTTTGAAAGTTTTAAAAAGATTTAGCACTCTAATCTGATAACACAGTATACTGGCTTCTAAATATTCACCTGTTTCTTTGTAGCAGGATATTTGATATCAAGTATTAATTCCTTTGCTTCAGCTTCAATCAAATCTGCAAACAAAGACAATCACAGCTTCAATTCATATTTCTCAAATGCATTCTGAGAAGCAAGTCAACCTGCACCACCGTTAAGACGCGCACGGGTTCATGCTATAGAGATGAAGACACTATTACAAAAGTTGCCAAAATAAGTTTGGGGAAATTGAAACAAAGTAACAGCTCAGTGGCATCTCTTACTCCAAATCTCTCTCTTGTAAGAAATATATATTTCTTACAGGAAGGATATCTAGAGTCAAATGCTGAACTCCATTACATAGCATAATAGGTTGCAAATAGCCCATGTTTTATGCAAGCACTCAAAGTAGAGTTTAGTTAAGATTTACACAGCAGATAAAGCCTATACTGGATGCTCGTATGAGATTAAATTTAATCTGGTATTTTATAAAAAAAAAATAATACAAGCTACTTAAAGTTCATAATTCATAGTACATACAGCTGTCAGAATGCACCACAATCATACCTGTGTTTGTACACTTACAGGACAGATAATACAAGAACCATTTGATAACATACAGTCTTAAGAAATTATACAAGAGAACCTACCCGGATCTGAGGTTTTAGCTTTGAGTAAAGTGTTTAACTTCTTCACTAGATGCATATCCTTTGCTCGCTCACTCTTTTTATCACTGAAGGGAAACAATTTTAATTGCATGAGTGAAGAGAACTAAAGTGAATGATTCAGAAAAAAATAGGTTTTTTTTATTATTATTTATGGTACTTTAAGGTAACATCAAATTAATAAAAATCAAGTTAATGCATACAAACCAATGCGACTATTACCAGAGTACTATTCAGCTTGAGAAGGAACACCAGAATTGCTCGCTTTAAATAAAACATTGTTTCCAAAAACAATAATGAAGTTCATTTGGTTATACAGAGCACAGAAAGTCCTTACCTCAGTGCTAAATGGAAAGGTACATGGACAGTTTTTACACTTCCAGAGACTGGATCAACAAGGCATATCTGGTAAGTCTGGGGCTGCCATCCCTGACTGGTCACATTGTTTAGACCCATTATTCTATAACCAGGATACAACAATCTGAAACCAACAAAAAAACACGGCCTTTACAGTGAAGAACAAAATCAGCAACCTTCCTTTTCCACACACTGAATAAAAAGACGAGAACTTTATTATAAAGCCAAGGTTTAACAACTGCTAAATGTGTTTATCAGGAAAGATTGTAGAGTGATGAAACATGACAAAATCCCCTTCTATAAAAACAACAAGCTACATTCAGTAGAAACACTGTGGGCAACACAAAAAGCACCTGCCAGCACTTTCCACTTTTACCACTGGCACATCCCCATATCACTTCATTGCAGCAGCACAGCCAATATGCCTACCTGCTAACTGTTTCTTACCGACAATATTTCCCCACATTGAAGGCTCCAACCCGAGGCCCTTGCTGCGTGCTCCATACTTCCAGAATGCCTCTCCTCGGAGCATAGATCACAAGGAACTGAGCCACTCTGCTTGGACCTTGTGCATTTCCAAAAGGAGAAAAATCCATCTTCTCAGTTTCCCTCTCATGAAGGTCCTCTACAGTCTGTATCCAACCAACTTCTGCATCACGGTATCCTTTGTAAGAGAAGAGGGAAGTTCATTAGTGTACAGAAATTAATACATGACTAGTATATATCACCACCCACATAAGTACTGTTCCAGCAGCCAGCCATCTTAAACTTTGTTTCAAACTGTGCAACTCCAGCCAGTAGCCAGAGTCCTGCCAAGAGCTGTGGTCCATCGACTCAGAGCAGGGCCCACCAGAGGACTCCTCAGAGCCAAATGCAGCCTCCTGCAAAGCCCTGGGGAGGAACAAGTTCTTCTGGGAGAAGCCACAAAAGAACTCAAAACGCATCAGGTCTGTACTCTGGACATTATAGCAATGCAAAAGCTTCTCAGAGAAGAAACATCTGTACTAAGCGTCCTGACTTCTCATGTTTCAAAACAACAAAAAAAGAAGATTTAAGGAAGGAAATTTGCATAACCTATTAAACAGGATACGTAACTTTTTATTCATGTTTTCATCATTAAAATGCAATTTTTAGTAACCCAATAAAAACACTCATCTTCCCCCTCTCTCTGGGTAACGCAAATACTGTCCCTCTAAAAGCATTTGTTTCTCTTGTTTCTTCCTAAACAAAAAAAGGCAGAGATGCTCTCATGACATCACTAAACTATGTAATGGTTTAGCAAGTACAAACAAAAACTCCAAACCACAAGTGAAATATAAAACAAGTTTATAGAAAGATATATTATACCAAGAAGGTAGAAAAGTATTCACAGCTCGATTAATGAGAAAAGGTACAATCCAAAAGATTTAATTCGGTAGGCAGCTTTGCTTAAAAAACAAAAAACCAAAAAAAACACACAAACAAAAAAAAACACCACTACTTCACTTCTCAACAGCCTCACTGGGGAAAGGCTGGCAAATTGTAAATACGTGTCTGATTATCAAATAAAGCTTAGGACTCCAATAGTACTTCTTAGATAATATGAAGCTCTCAGTAATGAAGAAAAAAAAGTCCAAGAATATCAGAAAGCACATATTATAGCTAAGAAGGTTCAAAATATGAGAGAAGGAGAATGCACAGGGGAAATGTGATTAGTTATTACACCGTTAGTGTGTCGCTGAAGTAGCTACTATATTCATGACCACTAATCTTCTGAATTGGTAGGGTGGGAGAGAGAGAACAGAGCTAGAGATTTTCTATCTGTTATTAAAACTTATCTTCCATCTCCTAAAAAGCTGCAAAATTTTAATTCTATAGAAAAAATAAGAGCTGTTGTAACACTAGGTATAATTACAATTTGAGAGCTTAACATCTGCATTTTTCTTCAAAAAGCCCTCAGTTTAGAAGAGACTGAACACTCCCTTCTTGCGCAGTCACCATGATGAAATGCGAATCTAACAAGCTGTATATCTTCTTACTGATTTTTCAAACTTCTGTTTATTTTCTCAGCAGAATTAAAGAAGATATTCGAGCTTATCAAGAAAAAGAATCTTGGAGAATAGAGCTAAAGCTCTTCCAAAATAATTATTACGTCAAAAACTTTCTGTTGGGATACAGTCTGTGGGGGAAAAAAAAAAATCCACACAATACAAACGAAACAGGCTGAGTTTTTACTATATAGGCCATATCGGTATTTCAGGCGTTGGTACAATACTACTCTTATGGACTTTATATTACATCTGCCTTTAATATTTGGTTTGTAATAACACAATGTACAAAAGTCTTTCTTAATAATGGAAAAACACTTGGAATTCTAAGTCTGAAAATAAGAAGCCACAGTATTTTGAAGAATATTATTTGCTATGCTAATATACACTATCGTACCTTTCCACATGCGAACTGCAAGTCCTCTTGTAACATCCAGTAAAATAACCCGTCCAAAATCATCTGTTATTGCTGCCAAAGTGTTACATGGAGAAAGACATATTCTTTCACCATGACGACGGGAATCCGGAAGTCCAAACCTAAAAAAAAAAAAAAAAAAAAAAAAAATCAAAAAAAAACCCCCACACACCAATCAAGTAAAAACACTAGATACCTATTTTTCTTCAGAAATAGTAAACAGAGTATCTTATATGGAATAAGATTTCTTTTTTTAAGATAACATAAAGGTATGAGTAAAACTAAGAGCAAAGTATGAAAAGAGTTTTTGTGCTGTCTACCGGGAGATCTCATAGGTCTGTTAAAGTCCTACTGAAAACCAAAGTCCAGCAACTAGGACAAGCAATTGCTTTGTCATGCATTGTCAGGCAAGGATCTCAGAGCAGTGGATTACTTTGTATGCCCTCTCTTATTGTCAACTAGTCTTGAGAATACTTTAAAAAAAAAAAATCATGAAAACCAATCAGGAATTAATTTAGTCTTTTATCAGCTTCCTTGAAAACATTAGGATACAACCTGTTGCTCCCATTCTCCTCTCTCCACAATCAACAGGGGAACAGGATACTTCCTAATTTTTGCGAGGGGCGTACAACTATCTTAAGCAGCAAGCACTTCATTCGGCTTCTTTGAAGCTCTTCAGCAATAACTTCAGGACTGATATTCATGTACTTATACTGTCATTAAACTGTGCACACTGTTCTTTTACAGTAACAATGAACCCACACACTGGCAGTGAAAGAGATGAGTAATTTGTCCAGAATGATAAACTGAAGTGAAACAAAGCTTAAAACAAATCATCTGCAAACAATCATCACTGCTTCAAGTCAAGAAAAATAAACATGTTCGTCAATTATGCGCCTTTCAAAATAATTCAAACAATTAAAAACACAAGAGATTTAAAGCAACTGAGACAGTATGTAAAGCTTACCTCACTGCCAATGGGGTTGCAGGTTCAACTTTTGGTTTCTGTTTTTGGGCGGGTTCTTCTTCATGTTTACTCTTCCAACCAAGCCAGCCACTTGCAATAGAAAAACACATCAGGAGAATCACACTAATGGTCCTAAAAATCCTCAAACTATTATTATGTAGCTAGTAAAACAAATACAATGTAATTTTTTGTTATTACCTGGCAGCATTAAACAATGCTGAAGTCAGTTTACTTGCAACTGCTAAGGCAACATGAGACAACAGTGGCTGTGAGCTACCCTGAAAGAAAGGAATAAAGTGTTTAGAAAGTCAAGAAATAGTCAGCTGTGAGCCACCCTGAAATGAAGGAACAAAGTGTTTAGAAAGCCAAGAAATAGTTCTTACACTGAACTCAACTGCAGAATAGTTTTTCAGGCCTCCTATGGACTTTCAGCTCAGAAAGCATAGCTTTAAGACTCTGCAAAATTTTAATTCATTGCCCCCAGAAAAGCCATTCTGACATCTCTTTACCATTTCAAAATCCTCCTGCAAGTCACTGGTAGCTCAGTATGTTTGTCTGCAACAGAAGTTAAAAAAACCCTGTGTATGATTTATCACGGAGAGTTAGCTGGTGTATGGCTTTGGCATCCTCGCAAATATCAACATAAGCAGTTTTTTCATAAACATATTGGAAAAGCAAGTACAAAATCAGAATTCTGATTCTAGCATTTTCAATCAACTTTCGATCCTAACAAGGACAGCACACACATAGGGTCGGAATGTACAAGACACACAGCTACATTACCATCCTTCTCCTCCAGTACAACAGAAGAAGACCTAAGTGTGCTACAGGTATCATTAAGCATAAGTTGCAGTTTTCTTCTACAAGTATTAGTTCCACTATATGAAATCACCACAGTACACTCAGGCCATACGTGTACATGATCAAAGGCCAAAGGCCTCCAAAAATCCATAAGACGCATGTTTACACAATCGCAACCTAACTTTTTTAAAAAAACCTTACATTACTTAGTTGGCAATAAATTAACAACTGAAAAAATAAAAAAACCCACTTGACTATCACATTCATTTTAAGATAAAAAATAAAATTTCTCATTAGCAGGAACCTGTGGTAGACATTACCATCACATCTACTCCAAACCATTCCAGTTTCAGAAGATCAAGAAGAGGGGGAAATGGCAGCATAGAATGAACATAGGAATACTTCAGAAACACCCATACAGAAAAGAGAAGGATTAATTATTCAAAGTTTCAGCAAGTCAGCTTTGTCGTACATACCTCCAGGGCAAAAAAGAAACCAGTGAAAGGATTGGATCCAACAGTAACATACTGAGACATAGCAGGTGGGCTGTTTTTTATAGCTGCGTTATATCCACCTATATTGGAGGCAGTCTTCATTTGATCAAAAGGAGACAGTGTCATGAGGCCTAACAAAAACATTAAAGGGAATGCCTTATACTTTCAGAACAAAGGTATGCAATTGCTTTAAAAGTCTAAATACATTCCTGACTTCTTGACTGACCAGCCAACATTCAGAGGGATGGGAGGAAAGCAGCTTTAACCACAGAAATTCCAAAGAACACAGCAGAAATAATGCAATGTACTTAGGTTAATTATAAAGCATAGTTGGTTTGTTTAGAAGAAAAAAACTTCAGCAGAGTTCATTTTTCAGTTCCCCTGCCTCATTAGCCCCCTTCTGACCTCGTACCTGCTTTTGTGAAAAGGGTGGAAGAGAAATAAAGCTTACTGTCCCTCAGATCTACCTGTCTGACAAGAATCCGAGCTTCTGCAAATTCCTAAGGAATATAAGTCTTTGAGAACCTAGGAGTCAGTTTGTCTGTTTTGGAAAGGAGCGATCTAAAAATGTTAGTTTATGTGCTAGACTCAGGAAAGACCCATACCAGTCTTAACCTGCCTGCCAGAGAGTTCTTGAACCTGGCAGAAATGGGAATAACTGCATCTGATCTAGTCTCTCTTGGCTGTCTCTTACCAAACAAGAGAGGACAAAATAGCTACAGCTGTAACATCCATTCTCCCCTCAAGCAGAGAGGGGAGGCTCAATCAGACTAGAAGAAAAAGTAAAATATATATTTTTATGATGGTTAATGCAATCATTCACTATGACAGGTTTCTCCCACTATTTATTACTATCCAGCCAGTACCACTAAGCACTCTCACTCCAAGTTTAACAGCACAAAAACATTTGGTTTCCTTTAAGCCAAATATTTGAAATGAAATAGAAATGCTTACCAATACTAGCATGGTCAACGATTGTATCCACATCTTGCAAACCCCATTTCTTATAAGCTAATGGTGGGGGCTGAACATTCTCATTGCCAGATGCTGCAGCTGACAAAAGTTGATAAAACACAAAAAAATTCCTACTGAGTAAAAGACAAAGTAATAGCATAACAGAGGAAAAAAAAACTGATGCAATCTGATGCCACAAAATAACCTAGTTTTAAATTAACATACATCTAAACACCCACTGAGCTAAAATGGCCTTTTGAAATACATACCTTACTGAAATTAAAACATTTTAAAAAATTAACTGAATAAAATTGCACATGATATTCTATCACAGCTATATTTTGCACTTGCAGAGAGCTTTGTTTTACTAGTCATTTATGGTTTAATATTCTGTACAATCTTAAAATGCTACTACAATTTATTTCTCTGGTGTGGGCATGTTTAAGTGGAAACTCCCCTGCAGAAGTACTTGCAAAGTCAGCACATTCACTGGATATGTAACAGTGTGAGGTAAGAACAGCGGTAAAACTAAAGCGATGATTGAAACTCTTCAAAATATATGTTACAACAAACATAAATGATCAAGAATGAAGGAAGACACAGCACTCTGGCTGCAGATATTACAACTAGCTGTAAGTGCCTCTCTGCAAATGGTGATCTCATTGAAAGAGTAGAGCGTGTTCTGGTTGAGAAAGTAGATGGATATTTCTCATTACAGCATCTGTCTTTTCTTTCTTATTTGTTGCATGATTCACAGAACATCAGTTTTTCAAGTTCTGATCTACAAGACCTTTGCCTTCGCTTTTACTCCATGGAAATGTTACGTTCTCATTAAGAGGATAAGAATAGACATTATTAGACCAACCCAGGGAACCATTTAGCACAGCAGATCAGGATCTGAGAACAGCTAAAACCAGATGCCTAGGGAAGGCTATTAGAACAAGGACACATATCTGATGCTTCCTCTAAACCAGCTTCTAAAGAGACCTTCTCAGCCAAAGGTAAGCTCTAAGCACTCAGTAAACCTCCACAGCTTTCTTCTCTACTAATTTGCCGGTTTCCCTCTGGGCCCAAGAAAGCTTTTAGCATTCACATCAACCTCTGGCAAAGAACTCCACAATTTAACCTCATGCTGCATAAACACCCATCTACTTTTTATTTTGAATTTACTATCACCTAGCTTCATTTCATGCCACTTCATCCTGAACTGGAAGAAAGACTGAGCAATCTGTTCCTATTGGCCATCCCCATATGATTCAGAGAAGAGCTGTCTCACCACAGTAGCATTTCTTAGTTCTTTACCACTCATCCCTTCTATGTAAGATTCAAGCCTTAGTTTAAGGGTGCTGCTGTCCCAACAGTTCCTAATGCTGTCATGCTGGCAGATCCATTGTGCTTCCCACCTACACCCAGCCTCATGATTGTCTACTGATGTGGCCTGCTGTAGAGGAAACAAGAATCTCACAAATCTGAAGTTCAAGGAGAACAACCATAACGACGTTTTGGAGAACAATTCAGCAACAGCACTTGTTTAACATTTTATCTTGCAGAATTGTAACAGCCCCATACTTGTGCAATCTACCACACAATACCACAATGTTACATGGTTCTCCTCTCACCCCAGGAAACTGACCCTGTTTCCAAATTAGAGTGTAAACAGACACTATACTAAAGGAACAGGATCAAAGGCTGCACAATCAAACAAGGTATCAAAAGCTCTCAGGCATTAACACAAAGAGCAGTGATCGTTACCAATGCCATCATTACAGCATGATCTCTTCCCACAAAGTCCTTACTGGGAAGAAAAGCATTTCACTGACAGTCAGTGAAATCAGCACCCTGAGGTGCTAAGAAGCACCTTAGCAGCATGCTGTGGGTTAACCCCAGTGGGCACCTAAGCACCACACAGCAGCTTGCTCACTCCCTCCTAGGGAGATGGAGAAAAGAATTGGAAAGGTAAAAGTGAGAAAACTTGTGGGCTGAGATAGACAGTTTAACAGGTAAAGCAAAAGCTCCACGTGCAATCAAAGCAAAATAAGGAATTCATTCACTACTTCCCGTCAGCAGGCAGGTGTTTAGCAGTTTCCAGGAAAGCAGGGCTTCATCATGTGTAACAGTTACTTGGGAAGCCAAACGCCATAACTCTGAACATTCCCCCCTTCTGCCTTCTTCCCCCCAGCTTTTATCGCTGGGCAGGACATCACATGGTGTGGGATAGCCCTTTGGTCAGCTGGGGTCAGCTGTTCCAGCTATGTCCCCTCCCAGGTTCTTCTGCACCCCCAGCCTTCTCACTGGTGGGGTGGGTGGGGCAAGAAACAAAAAAAGGCCTTGAACGCTGTGTAAGCACTGTTCAGCCATAGCTAAAACATCAGGGTGTTATCAACACTGTTTTCATCACAAATCCAAAACACAGCACCATACCAGCTACTATGAAGAAAATTAACTCTATCTCAGCCACAACCAGTATACAGTATTGTGGTGAGAATGTGCAAGACAGTCAATGCTACTCGGACAACTTGTGCTCTGAGAACATTTTCTGTAGAGGAAGAAGTTTCCTTGTATGCAGTAGATGCCTATATATTGATGGACAAGCAAGGAAGATCCAAATTCCACCTTGATTAGATATTTAACAAACATAAGTAAATTTCATGTAATGTAAAGTACTATCAACAGAGTCAGAAATAAACATTTCCTCTCAAACTTACCTCTTGCTACCTGATTGCGACATGCACGAAGGGACTGAAAGAGGCTGAAACCATCAATTGTCACAATTGCTGCTGGGTACAAGATACTTAGTTCTTCATTCTGTAGAAGAAAATGAGAGAAGGGAGACCAAAAAAAAAAAAAAAAAAAAAAAAAAAAATGATTGTTTCAAAAATTTTTTTTTTAT